CCTTGAAGTTTGCCATGGTACGTTCGCACTGGTCGGTATGAACAGGTGGTCTATATTTCAGGCATTTAGGTAAGACGTCATCGTCAAGGCAGCGATGCAGGAACTCCAGCTGACCGAAGATGGATGACTCTCGCTTCGCAAAGGTCTCCCATCGGCTTGCTGAGCGGAGGGCTTCGCGCCCATAGCATAAGCCAATATGCGTGAAGCTTCGAGGTCCACATATCATATCGTTTTCACATTCCCCAAAGAAATGGAAGAAGAAGGTACGAGGACATAGACCGATGGAACTCTTTCGGTTCCATCGTCAGAGTAACTGGGTTTTTTGCAGCCTTGCCGCGTGTCTGTTATTATATTCGCGCTCGACGCACGAACTTGGACCTGTCTGATCGATATTGATTGACCGTAATATTGATCGCTAGTGAGCTCGTGTGATCTCTGCTCACTTATCAGTTGTTGCAAGTCAGCGTACTGGCTGACGTGCTCATCGTCGACTGACGAGTGTTCCTGCCCGCCTGAGTTGATCTCAACCTCGTGGGCGCGGCGGTGCTGTGGGTCCTGGCCGGCTTATCCACTTTGTACTTCCGAAGCTGGTTGCATTCCACACTCGAGTTTATTTTGATTTCTGTTTGTCTTGTTCGAAATGACTCGAGCCTTCTGCGCAAGGCCTGGTAAGCGGGATAGAGATCTATGTCTCTGTTGAGTGTGCCAGTCGAAGACCAACTTTCCAACAGCAATCTAGCCATTTTCTTCATTTGCTCGGGCAAGGACCCTTGCTTTGTCAAAGGCGAAGACGTGGTACGAATCCTTGCCTTGCTTTTTGAATCTTGCATGGTGGGCTACAGACCCCCCAACGCTCTTCGCAATAACAAAAATGGTCACTCGTGTTAAGCCAAAAACAAAAGGGGTATCCCTAGCTCTGTCTGGTTTAACAACCGCAGCGCATGTTGTGTTGTGCATAGAGTAGACTGCTTCCTTAGCCCGTAAGACGTGCTCTCAAAGGCAAAGAGAAATTTATGATTTTCCTTAAGCGCAAAACGTAAGAGTTGAAATATGTCAATAATGAATACAACTTAATTAACAGGTTGGACTACAAAAAATATTTTGAAAACTGAACCCAAAATTTCATGCTGTATAGACTTAGAGGCAGACATAATTTTCCGCCGTCTGTTTGTACAAAATGTGATACGCTTAAACATATTTTCCAGCAAATAAAGTTGAGTGTATGAGGGCATTTAAAATCCAAGGACAACCCACGTTAATTTAGTACTCATTTTGATTGAGTGTTATTCGACCACTGTTTTGAAAGACGCACGGTTTATAGCCAGCACTGTGAGATTATTTAAATATCACTAGGTTTATTCTGCAGACTAATAAATAGGACAAATCCTTATTTTAATAGAAAAGACTAGCCAGAAGTTTACATCTCCTAAATTAGCTCATCCCCATGCATAGGAGTAGGCTTGCGTGGAAACTGAAATTCTGAATTATTCTGATCACCTTACAGCAGCGCAATTAAATAAGAACGCATCCTAAAAACAGTGGAAATTTACGGTTCGTTCTCACAGTTGCAAGGCTTAACAAAAGCTCTAAACTTCAGAGGAATTACTTTGTTTCTAACGATTTTAATTTCAGCAATGAAACACGCATGGATGCCGCGATCCTTCCTTAATTTAATTTAATTTGTTATGCACTGCTTTTTGTCTTTGGAAACGTAAATGGTGGGCTATCACGCGCGCAATCCAACCACATTGACAAAAATGGTCCGAAAACAATTTGGTTGCCACTAAATCTACCTGGTTAAACAGACAACCTGCGTGGTGTGTTGTGCTTGGGGGAGATTGCGACCCTTGGCTGACTTATATCTCGTTTTCTGTATCCTCGCAGTGCGTCAGTGTTATATCTCCTTCCCACTGTTGAACGTGGGAATTTGTCTGATAATTTTTTAGCTCCGGCTCCAACCAAGAACGGATTAAACGATTGTTGCATAGGCGCACGTAGTCGATGCAGCCAGAAATACCCCTAACTTAGCTTTCAGTGGCAGTAGCCCTTTGCGCTCGTACTTCTGCATTATCTTCCCTCATTCACCTATAGTAGGTGCGCAGGAAGCTTCGAGGAGCCCGACTCTCGTATTTCTACCACCGCAACCGCTGTTTATGCTGCTGCTTCCAGCAGTGCATCTGAATGACAGTGTAGTCTGGTCATCAAAGCCTTGTCTAAGCTTTTAGATTATTGCAGTCACAGAAACACTTTTGTCCTCTAGTGTCGTACTTGTAGCGCACCTATTTAGAAATATGATGTTCTGACTTCTAAAACTGGTAGCGTCAGTGCAAACACCAGTGCAACTACATTTCTTGTTGAGATTGGGGGGATATGAGCCCAGTGCTGACTTTAATTAGCGTCATTTTATAAATAATAATAGAGCCAGAAATCGTATCAGCAATTCTATCACTCAGCTGCACCCGTAGTTAGTAGTATCAGAAATATCAGTGGCAGTACCAGCCTTGGTTTCCAGAATTCTGGTTTGACAGCTACCGGAGGTGGGCATTTACTCGGACTGGCTTTTACCCACATTCACACGCCCTGCTGGGATCAAACGGATATGAGCAGACGTTCTGTAAAGCCCAAGCTACAGGTAGATACTGCAATAGGCCTTAGTGATAGTCCATAGACGGCAAACTGCACGAAATAAAGGCATGGTAGGACTTGTTAATTATTATTCAAATGCTAATCACTTTAATTCACACAGATTCGCAGGGTATACTGGGTGCGGCTGCTTAAAAAGCACGCTGAGACTGTAATGATATTATAATATCTACTGGCCTCAGCAAGCACGAGTGATAGACATTAGAACCTTTAGTGTAAACACTTACCCTTAAAAGCAGTATCTTAGTCCGTACAGCTCGTTGGATAGAGTTCAGTGTGCGGAAACAAAGGCAAACGCTTTTGTGCTCAGGGTCCCAAGCATGTGCTCACTTGAAATAGTTTAAACCCAGATTCACACTCTTTGTTGAGACCAAGGGAGTATGAGCCTCAGCGCTAACTTCAAATTAGCGTCAATTCTGACTCATTTTAGCGTCAGGTATAGTACTGATACTACTAAGACTTGGCTACATTGGTAGTCAGTAGTAGTAGAAACAGCAGAAGCCGTATCAGTCTCAGCCTCCTTGGCCCTGTTATCCAACCTACTGTGGGTGAGTGAGGGTAGGTTATACGGTAGTACCCGCGCAGAGTCAACTGTCACTTAAGACTAAGTTAGGCGGTGTTTCGGGTTGCATTGGAGAAAGCCGCCTACTCCGAAATCCGTTTAGCCTTTGAGACTCCAGGAGAAGGTAAGGAATCCTAACTACAGTATTGATGCCGAAAATTCGATTCCTGGGTGGTAGATCAGAAGAAAGAGGAGCGTTCACCGGG